TATGTCAGCTCAGATTCTGGGTGCAGACCTCGGATCTAAATCGCTAGCATTTGAGGACCTATCATTCGAATCACCGCTAGGCGTCGACCTGGATCGCAACGTCAATCTGACTCTCGAAAATATTGACAAAAACGGATGGAAGTTTGTTCTTTCGAGCTCTTCCGGGCAAGCAACCAGTTCCCACCGCGCAACTGTTCATGGCAGGGGTCGGATGGCTCTAGTAGAGAATCCTCGATTTTCTACATACAAGCGGCTCATAGCTGACCGCCTTGACTCAATTCGATCGAGTCCGAGCTCGGAGAAACTCAACGGCGGACGAGCCTATAAGCTGTTCTCGAAAGTTGTGGACTACGCCGACTTCTTCCACGGGATTCAAAGTATCGTCATTGACAACAACGAGGCACTAGCCGACATCCGTATGCCAGACAGTCATCTTGGGGGCAATGAAAGCGCAGTAACGAAGTATTGCGACACTGTGTCCATTGACGCGTTCATTCAAGTCTCCGGCCTTCTCATCAACAGCAGCAAAGTATGCCCACAGGGTCAGGTTTTCGTAGCTTCCGGCCTCGAAAGTGTCACGACGTCAAAACATTGCGACTTCGACACTCACAAGGAATGGGACGTCTATGCCATTTTCACTCTCATCGATGATGTGCATGCGACCGGCGACGTTTTCGTTTTGACCAAAGACGGCGAGATAGCCATGACAGCTATCGGTGCCAAATTCCATCGTCTCGAAATCTCCAAGCTTGAGCGAACGCTTGACGCAGCCAATGGATCAAGGTTAATCTCTAAATCAGGTTCATCTCTCTCTCTTCGCGAGAACTCTAGGCCCGCTATGCTCGAGAGCCCTCCGCCATTGACGCCCGATGGCGCTTCCAACTCATCAAGTGCTTCATCGGTGGCTGGCGACGAAGCCAACGAATCAGATGATCCGTTGAGGGCGATGATCTCTGCATATACTGGCGCACCAGCAGATTTCATTGCCTCAAACACTTGTATCGGTGATCTTGGTATCGATTCACTGGCGTCGGTCGAACTCTCGGACGAGATTAACGACCGTTTCGGGAAGATTGTGTCGCCTGGCGAGCTTCTAACGGTGAGCTTTGGTGCATTGAGCGAAACCATATTTTCTGGCGTCACCAAAGCCTACCGAAAGCAAGTCTCACCGGTAACCACGCCGACGGCTAGGTCTCCATCCCCGGTCTCCAAGACATCCAAAACCGGATTAATGCCTCATTCAAGCCCGGAGGAAGGTGCCAAGGACTCCCTTGGTAGGACTCGACGCGCGAAACTGTTCGAGCTTATTTCAGATCTTTGTGGCGTTGCTGTCAGCCATATCGAAGATCACCAACTTCTTCAGGACCTCGGCTTCGACTCTCTATCCACCACAGAACTCGTTTCCTGCCTATCTGAAGAGTTCAACGTCGATATCAATGGTATTGATAGCCTCCTTGACGTTTCTGTCAAGGATCTGATGCACTTGGCTGGACTTTCTCCAATGAAGCCAAGTACCACCCCACTTTCGAAGCCGTTAAACTCACCTGTGCTTGATCCACCCATACACCATTCTATCAGAACTGCCGAGATTACGGATCCGTTTCAATCTCTCTTGGAGGCGGAGTCTTCCTTTGAAGATTATGCCCGGTCTTGCCAGTTTACAGAGTATCTAGCAAAGGTCTCTGCTCGTCAGGATGAGCTTCTTCTTGCTTACCTGATTGAAGCTTTCCAGAAGCTAGGGATTGATTTCAAGGCCATTGCGCCGGGCCAGAAGATTCCCGATTTCGGATATCAACCTAAACACAGTAAGGTAGTGCACAGGTACTACGAGATTCTCGAAAGGCATTCTGTCATCGAGAAGAAAGACTCCGGATATATCCGGTCATTTTGTTCACCCACCCTTCCTCCCAGCTCGTTCCAGCTTCTACGCGACCTCATCACAGACCACCCAAATTATCGCTGTGAGGCTGAACTCATGGCTCTCACCGGACCGAAGATTGCAGAATGCTTGATGGGTGTGGAGGACCCTGTTAAGCTGCTCTTTGGCACCAGCACGTCCCAGGAAATCGTTGGAAGCTTCTACACGCAAGCCCCTATGTTTGCCACTCTGACTGAGGTTCTTGTGGACTTCATGGTTCGATTAGTCAAGAAGGCAAACGGGCCAGTTCGTATCCTCGAGGTCGGAGCCGGCATGGGAGGGACTACCAAGCGGCTTGGTGAAGCACTAGGTGCTCTCGGCCATTCCATTGAATATGTATTCACGGACATATCTTCAACCCTGGTCCGAAACGCTTCTAAGAAGTTCAAATACTCGTGGATGCAGTTCAGAACGCTTAACCTTGAAGTCGAACCGCCTACGGAAATGGTTGGCAGGTTCGACGTCGTCATTAGCACGAACTGTGTTCATGCAACCGCCAACAGAACTGAAACCTGTCGTCGTATCAAGCACATGCTCAATCCGCATGGTGTCTTGGTGCTCTCAGAAATCACTACGATCTTCGACTGGCACGAGGCTGTTTTTGGTTTGCTGGACGGTTGGTGGTTGGCGGTCGATGCCACACATGCCATTCAACCTGCAGCAGTCTGGATGAACTTCATGCATCAAGCTGGGTTTGCAAGCGCCACCTACTCTCAAAGCACAATGCCGGATTGCAATCTTCAGCGGCTACTTATAGCCTCTGTGAAGCAGTATCCGGAACCACAGCGTCACAGTGACTTGCCAACGTCTGGTATTGACACAGTTGTTTACAAGGTCGTTGATGGTATTGAGATAGAAGCCGATGTCTACTTGCCGAACAGCCCTCCAATTAGCTCGATGCCTGTAGGTAAATGGCCCTCCGCACGCGTTGCTGTTCTGCACTAAACGTCTGGCAGCATTGATGATCCACGGAGGTGGCCACATGACGCTTTCACGCAAAGCAATCCGACCAGCACAGACAAAGTTCTTATTGTCGCACAACATTCTTCCTGTCAGCATAGACTATCGGCTGGTTCCAGAGGTGAATGTCATTGACGGGCCGTTTTCCGACGTACGAGATGCATACGTTTGGATCCAGACAAAGCTCTCTGCTATCACATCTCAATACGGCATCTCGATAGACCAAACTCGCATAGTTTCGATTGGGTATTCAACGGGTGCCCATCTCGCCATGAGCCTTGCTTGGACTACCAAAGCGCTCGACATCCCGTCACCAGCCGCCATATTGGGCTTTTATGGCCCAACCGACTTTGAAACTGGGGCTCTGGAAAGGCATCAGGAAGAGCAGTCTTACGGAGAGTTCCCTGCCCGCAGAATGCGACTTGAGAAAATCATGCAGGCTCTGCCGCGGGCACCCGTGACGAACTATGGCACCATGATGGATGGTAGTCGATTGGGTTGGATCAAGCCCGGCGACCCACGCTCTGAGCTCATCTTCGCGGTTCTCAAGGAGGGCATCGGGCTAAACGTTCTGCTCTACGGCCTTTCTCCTAAGGCTCTGGCCCAAAAGCCTGACCCAGAGCTTGTCAGAGCGATTAGCCCAATGGCGCATGTGCGAGACGGCTCCTACAATGTCCCCACATTTGTCATTCATGGGCTACACGATGAGATTGTTCCGTTCAAGACAGCCGAATCGTTCGTAAAGGAGCTGAACAATTCTGGAGTTGAATGTGGCTTCTTACCGGTTCCTGGAGTGAAACACATCCATGATCTGCATCTCAAGCCGGGAAGCAGAGAGTGGAAAAGCCAAGTAGAACCAGGATATCTGTTCCTGTTCAAGCATCTAAAGATGTCCTTTTAGGTAGACTTATAGTCGAACATAGTCACTCATCTCTTGTCACTGCAACGAATGAATCACATATCTGGTAGAGTCGATCGCCCTTTCTGGTACCATGCATGCCCTCGCAAAGCAGAACCTGGTTGTATTTCGATAAGTTGCGTAGCCAACCATGCAGCGGAGCAAATCAGTAGGCGCTCTCGGTCCTGATGTCAATACCGAGGTTGAGAGTACAAGCAAAGGTGGCCATTGCGTCAAGAAGGGTGTCTCTTATCTTCGCACACCGCTTGCGATGTAGGTGCATACTATCCAGAGCTAGCATCGTATCTATTGCGGACCGAATGTAAAAACGTACACCTCACATTTCGGCGACACGAAAATTGGACCGAGGAACCGGCGAACGGGCAGACCAACACTCAACCTACTCCGAGAGTCTGGTGACATATGGTGCGGGGCATGGTGTACCGGACACATGCAGCTAGTACGCTACAAGAAAGTCTCAAAAGGTAGCTTATGGCCCACTACGTCTCATGGTCACGCCGACGTCCAATCCACCATTGTTATCCATCCTCCGGCCTTCAGAAATGAGCACAGCCATAATCTCCGAAACGAGCAACATGTCCCCGAAAGGTAGAACGAAGATCACTCGAGAAGAAGAAGATCAGATATGGTCTTGGAACGCTTCACTTCCGCCAACTCCTCACTTGACTATCACTCAAGTCTTCACCAAGCAAGTCAGCTGCTCCCCTGACGCGCCTGCGGTGGACGCACCAGACGGTACACTCACATACACGCAATTGGAAGACTACTCTACGCGTTTAGCCCAACATCTTCATACTATACTCGATGAAGCCACTGCCGGTGAAATCATCCCGATCTGTTTCGACAAATCTATCTGGCTAGTTGTCTGTATGATGGCTGTGTCGAAGGCGGGGATGGCGTACACGACGCTGGACCCTGGCAACCCAACGGAGCGGTTACATGCGTGCCTGGCCACTATAAGTCCTCGAGTAATGCTTGCCGAAGAAAAGTTCAACGAGAGGTTTCCGCGCGAAGTTGTCAGCAAGGTGGTCATCAATGTGCCAGAACTTTGCAGCAGCGATTTCGAGAGTGGGATGATCGGAGTGATAGACCTGCCAGTCGGCCTTCCGAATGATCTCGCTTATGTGTGTTTCACATCAGGATCGACGGGACTACCTAAAGTGGTTCAACATACGCAAAGCAGTGCGGTCTCTAATGTTATCCATGGTCATGGTTACGCAGCTAGTAGCCGCGTTCTCAACTTCGCCTCCCAGGCTTTTGCTGCGAGCATTGTCACGACTTTGAAGACGCTTTGTAACGGGGGTCTATTGATCCTACCACCAGAGCGAGAGCGCATGGGCGGTATAGCGAACTTCATCACCAGGAAGAAAATCACTCGGACCTTCCTTACACCAACGCTGCTGAACCTGCTGAAGCCAGAGGAAGTGGATTGCTTGCAGTTTTTGACCGTAGGGGGTGAGCCCGTAACTCAGCGACTCATCGATATTTGGGCGCCGCGGGTATCGCTTGTGGAGGCGATTGGCATGACGGAGGGCGTCGGTATTGCGAACGCCATCGATGTTAGCGGGAAGAAATGTAAAGCTCGCCAGTTTATGACGGGTTGCGCATGGATCGTTGACCAAGACGATGCGAATACACTAGCGCCGATCGGGGAAACGGGGGAACTTCTTTTTGAGGGACCAGCGCTATTCCAGGGATACCGCAACGACCCGGAAGCTAATACGAAGGCATTTATCGACGGGCCACCTGTATGGGCGAAAGCGAGGGGGGAGATGAGACCCAGAGTGATGTTTCGAACGGGAGATTTGGCAAAGTATATCGAAGATGGCGTTGTGCAGATTGTGGGAAGGAAAGATACGCGTGTCAAGTTACATGGGCAACGCTTTGAGTTGGGAGAGGTGGAGAAGTTGTTGTTGGACAGCCTCCCATCGGGTGTGACGGTCGCAGCGGAGATAGTCGAACCGACAACCGGAACTGGGCCAATGCTCGTCGCTTTCATACACGGGCTTGCAACAGACTTCTCTCACGAAGTCAGGCAGTTGAGAGAGAGATTGGCGGACAGTCTTCCGGATCACATGATACCGCGCGGATTTGTGGAACTCAAAGAACGGCCGTTAAACCCGTCTGGCAAACTCGATCGAAAGCTACTGCGGAGTCAGGCTGCCAGGATGTCGTTGGTTGATCTGGTGAAGCATGTTGGCGCTCTAAGCAAGTCTGAGCCAGTGACATTGCAGGAGCGAACGATGCAACGTCTATGGGCCTCAGTGCTCGGCCTTCCTGTAGAGTACATCGGTTTGCAGGACGATTTCTTCCATCTTGGCGGAGATTCCTTGCACTGTATCAAGCTCATCGCACAAGCACGGAAAGAGCAGGTCATTCTGTCAATCGAAGACATCCTGGTGAATCGAACTCTCCAGGCTATGAGTACATCGGCAAGGTTCGAGGTATGCGCTCAGTCGACTACGCTAGGCGGTGGATATACAGCGCACACGATAGAGACAGTCGCACCGGAGATCTCACAAGATGATGTCGACGCTGTTGCTCTGGCGACGGACTGGCAGGCCTGGTGTGTCGGGCAGGGTCTGCTCAAGTCACATGGCTGGCATGACTACATGATCTTCAAGTTCCCCAAAACACTGGATGTTGGAAGGTTGCAACGCGCTTGTCAACAGCTCATAAACCAACACGCCCTCCTACGGACGGTGTTCGTAGTGAAAGCAAGACAAACTTTCCAGGTCGTTCTCAAGGCCAAGGCTTTCCCCTTCCGGTTCACTGTGGAGCAGTCTAGTGACAGTCAGAATATGGACGGGCTTGTTAAGGAGGTCATTCAGCAGGATATGAAACGACACCGTCAACTCGGCGATACTTTGGTAGCTTTTACCCTTGTACATGATGCCACGACTAGCACAGCGCAACTGGTCCTTCGAATCTCCCACGCCCAGTACGACGCGCTCAGTCTCGACACATTGTGGCGCTCGCTCGAGGCTTTGTATTTTGACAGACCATTGGAAGTCATTCCTTTCACCGACTTCTGCGCAGAAGCAGTCTTAGCAAGCAGGAATTCTGAGACGTTCTGGAAGACAGCTCTGGCCAATAGCTCGATGAGCGAAGTTCGTGCTCACACTCGCCCTAGCGTGGACTGCCCTATCAACGGCGCCGTCAAGATTTCCGTTCCCTTGGTAGATCTGAAGACTTCGGGTTACACGAGCGCAACCGCTGTTCTTGCCTCATGGTCGATCGTGCTGTCGAAGCTTACGGGTCAGGACTCTGTCGTATTCGGGTGCATCATTTCTGGAAGACACATGATGATGTCCAACGTATCGGATATCCTCGGCCCATGCATGAACGTCATACCTTTGCGCACGGATGTCGTTTCAACCGCAAAAGCTTCTTCGCTTCTCGATGCGACTCAAAGCAACTATCTGAAGTCGCTGCAGCATGGCCATATTGGACACCATCACATCATAGAGAAGTGCACCAATTGGCCTCGATGGACACGATTCTCGACAGTCGTGAACCATCTCAGCTTCGGGTCGATCGAGCAGCCATTTCCAGAACTTGGCGGGTGCGCATTCGATGTGTACGAACCGGAGCATGACAAAGCCGACCTATGGCTACAAACATCTGCTCGCGACAACAAGCTAGAAGTCGAACTGAGATACTCGCAACAGGCTTTCTCGGAAGATCGGGTTAAAGCGGTGTTGAGCGGCTTCGTTCAAACTTACGAACAGCTGCCTCATTTATTGGAACAGAAACTGTCAGACATCCTTGCTCAATTCGATCTGGCTGCATTCCAGCACAATCTGGTCAGCCCCCGTCAAGCTAGAAAGCAGGCACCAAGGCCTGGGACAGAAGATACAAAGATCTTGGAGGAAGTAGTTTGTTCAGCTTGGGAGTCGGTGTTGGGATCAGACTTCAGGTCGTCTCCTGGTTTCACACACCAAACTCCGTTCTACGAAATATGGGGCAACAGCATTGCTGCTGCCGCTCTTGCTTGTGAATACTCCAAGCGGGGATTTGCTACAAGTATTGAGGAACTGCTTGATTTCCCGTCTGTTGCAGAGACTATTGCTCTTCTCTCAACCCGCACAAAGGGCGATGCTGAGAAAGTCACTTAGCCTGCTGCACAACGAGCTTTTTGACATAGATAGTGCATTCATATCACAATAGACGTCGGCTTTTGATGAAACCTCGAGTATGAACCAATGTCGTGCTACAATGAGATGAAGATGTTTGCAGCCTGGAATGCGCAGCATGAGTCGTCCGGAAAAAAGGTGGCGTCCAATTTCGACTACTTACTGCACCTGCATGAATAAACTGAGGACCAGGCGAATATCGAGAGAGCTTACTGAAACAAGTCCACCTGTATTCTTGCATCAAGAGTCCATGTATAGAGCAGAGTTGATGGAACCTCGACTGCAGACCTCATGAACTTCTCCGGCCATAGGGCTCAAATGGAAAAATCGCCGCAATGCCTGCCATGAGGATGTACAACGCGGCGCAAATATATATCGGGACAGCGGTTCCCGTCTTTGCCGCCAGTCAGCGCGAACCCAGCCATTCGGAGTCATCTCAAACATGACAGGTTCAGTGAAGAGCAGACTTACATCAGCGACCGTCGCAATAACGGCACTCAAGATTCCCATAACCCTGTTCCAGGCAATCGCGATCCCGTTGCCGGTACCTCTGTGCGCACTAGGCAGCACCTCCGGCGTATAAGCGTACAGCGTGCCATAGTAGATATTTAAACAGAAGTTGATGATGCATGTGAACGCCACATTCTGAACAGCAGTCCTGACCTGCGTGTACGCGAAGAAGAAAGCCATGGTGACCAATGCTCCAATAACCATGGTATACTTACGACCAAGGCGCGTATGACACATGTAGCCCGCTAGCACAGGTCCCCAAATCCCGCTAAAGTTCACGAGGGTGTAGTTGCGCCAAGTGATGTAGGGTGATGGTTCACCGAAGGCGGCGCCGCGAGAGGAGAGGTAGGCGGGGAGGAAGACATTGTAGACTAAACAAAGGTGTACAAAGTCAGCGTATGTCTCACATGCAGTTCGCACAGAGACACTTACGGGGGTAGGCGAGGCCTATCAATGTCCACGAGAGCCAGATCAACGATGTGCTAATACCTATTCGCTTCGTGGAATACAGGCCGCGGAGGTGCATATTGATCTCTCCCAAGCCCCATTTACTCTGATTTCCACGTGCAGCGATACGATCTACGGTGCCACAGTCTTGCATCTGGATGACGGTGAGACTACAAGGTCGATTGTATTTGGTGGCAATGAAGTGGAGGGTTTCGACGCACTCGGCGTCTTTACCTTCGCTGACGAGGAATTTGGGAGTCTCCTTGAGACGGATGATGGTGATGCGGAGAATAGACATTACAAAAACCAAGGATCCAGAAGCGTACCATACGTAGCGCCAACCTTGGTTGTTAGACTTTGTACAGGGGCCTGCCGTGGGATCGAGGGATGGGTCTGCGCAGCTAAAATTTGGAAGGAAGGCCCAGGCAAAAAAGCCAGCTACGAGCTGACCAATGCCTAGTCAGAGTGTTAGTACTTAGGCTTATAGATGCCATCCCTCGGAGAAGAAAACAGCGGAAGATTGGGGATATATATACCCCACCAAGCTGCCATGAGCGTAAGCATCCACTGCCTATAGCTAGGCAGATACTCCAAGAACACTGCCGTATCCAACACCAAATTCCCTCCGGCGCCAAAAGCACTCAAACATACGAACAAGCCCAAGACTTCCCAATTTGGGCTTGCTCCAGCCACAATTGCAAAGATCGAGCAAATCAGCAAACTAACGTTAAACGCTGTCTTTCGGCCGATGATATCGGCTGATAAGCCCCAGAATAAGGCTCCCGTGAGCATTCCGACGTAAGCAGCGATGGTCAGGCCGTTTCGGTAGGAAGGCTTGAACTCAAGGGCGGCTTGCGCGGCGATGACGGACTGAATGAGTAGGATGAGGGAGTCAACGGCGTAGCCAAAACCATTCAGGACAAAGAGCTAAGCCTTATTAGAAATGCTCAAAGATGTCAGAGACACATCAAGTACCTTCCATTGATACGTCGTGAAACCGATCTGGGGACTGTAATCAGTACACACCCACAAGAGTCTTCTCTCAACAAGCTTACCTCATCGATCGCATTGTTAACCAGATGCATTTTGGCATTTAGCACAGGATCAGTGAGTTGTAAGATGTCGTCTTTACCCAAGCTACTCGTTTCACCGCAGGCGTGCTGGTGTTCAACATCGTGCTCGTGCTCTTGCACTTTCCCGTCGTGAACTTTGCTCTGATCGTCCATCTTACTATACCACACCTCAATCTCCGAATGCACTGTACAAAATTTCCAACTCTTTGCAAATGTGAGAGGTGCACGCGACGACTGGGAAGAAAGAGAAAGGCCAAATAGAGGGGCACCGAGTGTAAGGTAGATCCATGTATCTTGCTGGCACTTGCAGCGAAGGACAAGACTATTCCGATGCTGTGCCCAATGCAACGTCCGAACTCACCACGTTGTTCGCCTGGTCCGAACGGCTGCACCAATGGCAACAACCCAAGGAATGCGCTTGTCAGCTGGTAGCTACGCTTTGATTGGTCGGCATCATAATCGGCTGTTCGTGACAGGGGTATAAGCTGAGGCGATCGCTCTTGGAAATCCTTGGGTTGTGATACGGGCGATACCAACGTGGGAAGGTGCGAACGAGCACAAGAACGTTCCGTCGAATCGGCAGTCGACCATTCTCGAGTTGCGCGCAACGTCTCTGAGCACGGAGATGGCCTCAGTGGCGTGAAATCTGCAATACCAACTGGGCCACCTAGGGAGATGAGTTCAGGTCTTCCCATCTGCAATGTATATGTATTTGACTTGACTATAATCTGTATTGTGGAGTACGACTACGTGCACCTTCGTGCAGTGAGAATTGTGGTATAATCGTGATGGCGCCCCACTGTTACAACATTAGCAAGGAAAGAAAGGAATCTGTACATGATATCGCCGTAAATATAGCCCTGGTATCCTAAACGCCTTGCTGAAGACAAGATGTACACAATGATGAAATGCATCGGAAACAAGAGGATCCCATGTAATAGTTCCTACTGCCCGGGTGTTTGTGTCGGAGTACTCTCTTCGGTGCTGGCAATAGCACTGTCGCCTTCCGCGACCATTGTGACCGGTGTTGGTGTAATCCTTCGTCGCTTACTCTCTCGCGCATCTGCATCAACTTCCGGCATAGCATACAAATCTCGTTTCTTGGAAGTCGAAGATGCATCGTCGCGGTCTGACTCGCTCATTTCGCTTTCTCTTCGCCCAACATGGGCAGTGCTTGGTACCCCGCTGACCGAGCTACTTGCACTGTGCGTCGTGCCCTGGCCGTGAGCTGGGGTCAGAGGCGGTGTCCACATCGGTACAGGTCCAGAATTGGCAGCAGCAATACTAGGCACTGATGACATAGCCGGCGTTGGGGCGTTCATGTTGCTTTGGTCACCTGCACCGGGCGCAAAGGATGAAGCAGTAGCAATACTGGATACCGAATTGCTTCTTGTGGGACTTCCAGGCCTTGCGGGAACAAAAGAGCTCGGAGAGGCCGGGAAGCCTGCAGAGGGTTGCCTCTGCATTGGTGGTGCAGTAGCCGTTGTGGTGCCCGGCATGGTTCCGTTTGTTGGTGTAGGAGTCGGGGTAGAGTTGTTTGATGTGTGCCCCCCCGTGGTGTTGATGGCAGCAGGTGTCTGCTGTGGTCGGCTATGAACAGCTAAAGGACCCGTGTACTTGTCGCCGAGTTCGCCAGGAGCAAATGTGATGGATGAGCAAAAGCCATCCGACGAGGTCATCAGCAGCATGGAGCCGTCATTTGACCTATTGAATGGTAAGTGAACTGGGAGTCAAAGCGGGCCTCGGCACGTACCAGGTGATGTCTGTAAAGGTAGCAAAGTGCAAGTTGCTGACGATGCATAGGGGCTTCTGTTGCTGCGTATCGTAGATGTGGATAGCGTCTTGTGTTGCGACAGCATACATCATGCGATAAGGCAGTGTAAAGGCAGACGGAGGCCCGGGGGGCAGGCCGGATTGAGCGGATGCTTCGCCATCGGCGGGCTTGGGCGACGGCGCTGATAGGCTAGGCGAGGGAGAAGGCGCACTCGTGATGGGCGGGGGGTCCATGGATGAATGCGAGGTAGGGGGCTTGGAGGGCATGACCGGATCAGGCAGAGAAGGAATCTCATCGTCCATATTTGAAGTATCGATGGTGATGTGCCTGGTGGGTGGGACAGACTGGCGCAGGGTATAGTAGACGGGCGAGCAACGGACGGCGACCGAGGGCTTCTTGTGGCCGGGCAGATAGGCGACGGGTGGCTTGTTGAGGCCGGCCCGGGTATATATGTAAACTGTATTCGTGATGTCGTCGGTCTGCTTGGCTTCAGCAACGGACGCATGCACGGCCTTGTATTGGCCTGCCGGCGTGAACAACAAGCTGCCGTCCGGGGCAAATGTAAGACGTCGGAAGAAGGACGTCAGGGTCTCGTTGAAGTAGAGGGGCGCGTTGCGGAGGCCCATGGGGCCCATGGTGCCAATGCTGGGGGAGTTTGGCATGACGGCGGGCAGGGGCATGGACGGAGCGGGCGAGGCGGAGCGGCGCATGGATGGAGAGGAGCCGAAGGACGAACGACGGCTGTGCGAGGTCGGCGGCGGATGCATCGTGGGCAGGGCCAGCGACTGGGGCGTGCCGGGCATCGACGGCACGGGCGAGCCGATTGCCATGGCAGCATCAGCGGCAAAGGCGCGGCTGCCGAAGTCTGGGGGCGCCGGGCTGTTGGAAGAAACGCGGCGGGCGGGCAGGTCCATCTTGGTGACCTTGCTGTGCTGGGCCAGCGAGAAGTGGCCGTCCTTGTTCTTCAGGGTGTAGATGTGGACGGAGCGGTCCGACGACTGGGTTGCAATGTACTCGTTCATGGGGTCCCAGGCAACGCCCTGGACGTAGTGGTTGTGCTCGGCAATCTGCCGCACGATGCTTCCTAGACATGATTGAGCAGCTATCGGGGACGTGGTGGCTGGGCACGGGGCGTACCAGTGTGAGCGTTGTAGATGCGGGCAATGTTGTCCATGCTG